AGAGGAAAGGAGGGAGAGAGAGAGATGAAAACATCAATGATGAGAGAGAATCATTGATCGGCTGCCTCTTGCATGCCCACACTGGGGATCCGACCCGAAACCCAAGCTTGTGCCCTGACCAGGAGTCAAACCGTGACCTCCTGGTTCAGAGGTTGATGTTCAACCACTGAACCACACTGGCCAGGCTGAACTAGATTTATTGATGCTTAAAATGCCACAATACTGGACCTAGTAGAGGCATTCAAACATGGGTTTAAAAGAAATAAGCTGGGGCATATTAAATACTTTAAGAGTTTATTTGAGTAAAAATCAATTCAAATCTGCAGCACCAAACTGGAAGTGATTAGAACACTGCACTGACAGGAGCCAAGGGAGGGCTCAGAAGAGAAAATGTGGAGCCAAAGAAAGGAAATTATTTGACTGGCTATAGTTTAAAGCCTAGTTGGCTATTTGTCATTGATTGCCCTTAGGTTTCAATTTCATAACATTGAAGCATTTACAACCTTAGATTTCTACTTGTATATATGTAGGCCACCATGACAGTACAGCCACCTCGGTCTAATGGCCTCATTGTTTAATTAATTTAACAAGCACTACCCTCATGTATCAATAGAATCCTGTCTATCTCTGTGAATTTCTTAGAGAGATACAAAAATCAAGCTATGGAATTCCTGGACTTTCTGATACTAGTGTAAGCCTACCTATGTATCTATAACTCACAGTTTGGGGAGAAGCCTCTGATCCTATTAACCAGTAAAGGCCAAAAGGCAGCTCGCTCCTTAAAAATTACACTCAGTTCCAGGCTATCCTTTAAAAGTTTTGGCATTTCTACCAATCAGGGTGTGGTGAAGGGTAAGATGGACCTCCCAGGTCAGCCAGGAAAAAGTCCACCAACTAGCTGTGCTCCCGAGGAAAGGGAGTTTGACACACTGTCCTGGACTCAACTGAGGGAAAGTCACAAAAGGCTGTTTCCATTAGAAGGTGTATTACTGATCCACTCCCAACTCCAGCCCATGCTGAAGTTCAGAGCTTGACCAACAACTCGGTTGCACCAAGCCACTCTCCTGCCTCTACCACATACCCCATATATACTGTCTGGGGGAAATAGATCACAGCAGATTTTATATCAGTGTTTACTTCCTCATCACTATGAAAGAGGTGAAATAACCCTTGGCCAATGTGGTTAAGAGAAGAGTCTCTGATGTCTGTCTTCCAGACTGAGGTCCAGGTGGTCCTCATTCCATTTATTTCCATCTGTATATGCCACATGGGATTCGTTCCACACAGTTCTTCTTATGATGTCTCTTTCCTAGTTGAGGCTCATTCTGTCTCTAAAAAATTGTCCTTGCTTATACAGTCTCAGTGTTAACTGCAAATAACAATTATGTGCCGTAATTACCTAGAAAAACCAAGAACTACAATTCCATCTCATAAACCTCCAGATTCAGATACAGACACAGTCTCTAAAACCAAAATCCCCAATGGGCAGCCCCAAGCCATGTATTGCCTGCAGTGTGCCCATGGGTTTGTTTATAAGTTGACTTGGTTGCCAATATTTAGAAATCAGAATATTTTTATTCAAATGTTCACTTTTTTCATGAAAAATCAGAAGATCGTGCAAAGCTTGGCCCATATTCTGACATTCCCATATGACCCACAGCTGAGCTGAGGAGCATGGTCCCCTTTAGATGCTGCTGCCCCTTTTCAATTCAACCCAATAATCACCACTCTGTTTTCTCTCTAATATACAAACCAAATGTGAACTGCCATTTATAATTATATTTGCATTGATTTGCTTATAATGCAGAAATATTTCTTTGCATTCATACCTATATCAATAGGGGGAATAGACTATATCAATAGGGGGAATAAGAGGTAGACTTCCTCACAGATTTTGTAAGAAATGAGACAAGAGTACTTTTTTTTTTTTTTTTTTGGTGAAAGTAAGATATATTTCCACAGGTATGATATGCAAAGTGTATTTTAAATGAAGACATTCACATTAAGACATCATTATAAAACAAGCCACTACAATGCATTCACAAAGCTGACTGCCCTCACTCATATAGCTCTTCATACACCCTGCACCCTAACCTCCACCTTTATCGCCCATCCCACCCCATTGACTTTTGAGTTTGTAACTTATGCTCTAAAAGTATAAATCTAGAAAAAGACACCCACATAAATGTCAAACATCACTATGTTGTACACCTAAAATTAATATAATATTGTGTGTCAACTATACTTTAATTTAAAGAAAAAGAAATGACACTTAACTACCCCCATCACTAGCCCCATGAACCCAAAATGCCTGTCATCCAATAGTGACTACAAAACATGGAGAAATGATATGTGTATACTTGGAGAGGCTTGGTAAAACTCAATGACTTAATGATGAGATAAAAAATGAGGCATTTGTGGAGGGCGGTACCCGGTGGAAGGGCTCAATGGGAAAGGGGAGGGATTTCTGTAATACTTTCAATAATAAAGATAATTTTTAATAAAAATAAATGAGGCATTTATACTGAGCATTTCAAACAGGTTGGTGGTGAGTTTTGTCTCCTGTTCTAGACCAGTGCAGAACTATGTGGAAATAAGGACTGAAGGATATTTCAAATTGGATATAGAGAATTCCAGATGGGACAAGGGATGACTAATGGATGTGGCAGGAACACATTTCTAACAGTTAGGCTAATGGTAGTTAAAGAAATCCCCCAGCACTGATTAGGCAAAAAGGAGGAGGAGGAGGAAGAGAAGAGGCGGCGGCAGCATAGGCAACCTGGGCTAAGTCAGAAAATATTTTGGGCAGATTAACATTTAGTCACACACAGGTTGTGATGCCAGCAGGCCACGCTCAGGACAGTCTGCCCTAGAAACAACTATGAGCAGGCGGTGCTGACATCCTGGCAGGCCCGGCAAGTGCTGTAATCAAGGACAGCCCTTCCCAGGAAGAGAGAAAGCACAGGTCTGGAGCAAAGTTCGAATTCCTGGAGCAAAGGTAGAATACCTACTTCTTAGGCTAACATATTTCTGATTAAGGGTGCACTAGAGAGAAAGGACATTATTATATAGTGGTTATTTTTTACAGTTAGATGTAATGAAGACATAAGAGATAGAGGGTTAAGGAGATTCTTCACTAAGCAATAGAATCATTGAAAGTTCACCTTGGTGTAATGGTACTGCCTCATAATTATATGACTTGTTTGTTGCAAGTTTTCAGACTGGGTTCTCCTAGCAATTCCAACAACCTCGTCATGTCATAGAAGGCCTGATGTGACAGAAGTTGCTAGAGCAGTCTGACATAACCAGGACTGTTCAGTTGACTTCTTCTCCTTCTCCTCCCCCTTCCTCCTCCTCCACTTCCTTCTCCTCTGTGTGCTTCTTATTTCCTTTCCTTTCTTTACTAATCTGTATCCTTGAATTAGATCTATCTTAAAGAGAAATCACAATAAAAGATGAAAATTTTAAACATGAAGCCCTATATACCTTCAAAGGATTTATGGAATTAAATGCATGGCTCTTCAGTGAACCTCCCTAGATTATAAGAGTTTCAGCTTAGTACAATTAAATTAAATTAAATTAAATTAAATTAAATTAAAAAGGCTATTTAATGCAAAGAGGGAGAATTTTAGAAGGTTATTAGAATAATAAGCTAAAAGAGATTTCAAATATATAGTAGGTGATCGGCAAACCTATAGTGACAAACAGTAGCTAAGTGGTTGTCAGAGACTAGGGAAGGGGCAATGGGTACAAATTTCTTTTTAAGGTGATGAAAATGTTCTAGAGATAAAGTTCAACTCTTTCTCTAGTATTTTCCCTAACAACACTATGGGCCTATGACCTGTTTATATCCTGATAAAATCCTAAATTTCCATTATCTATCCTAAACAGGTTGTAGTACAGATCCTTGTGGGGTTGTGAGCAGTAATCAGAAAAAATATTGTTCTCGGGAACAAAGAGCCAAAAATAATCTGGAGATGAAAGTGCTGCCTTGCCATCCCCATGTATGGCTCATTCTAATCACACAAATGATCATAGTTTATTCTACTCTAAATAACCAAGAATTTAAACTTACTCCCTCAAAGGGAACTACAAAAATCTAACACAATCTTGAGTAAACAATGAAGGTGTTGAGTGGTTTATGAACTGGACACCCCAATACAGACATAAGTAGAAAGAATTATAATAATTATTTCAACATCAGAACACACACTATCGAGTTTTGTTTAATGATAGACATTTAAGCTTGTGTCAGTTTCATGCACACTTCTTCCCTATGTCCCATGTAAATAAAAAGACAATTTTTGAATTATTTCCTTTGGTAAAGAAAATTGGGTTCTTTACCATCTTCTCCTTGAACTTGCTTCAGGCATTGTGCTTTGTGTTGTTATTTGAGAGGGATGAGGTTAAGGAGGTACTGCCTGTTTCCTATGATTACATTCCATAACCTCTTTATAACTAACAGCATTTTTGAAAGCCTAATAGATCAATTAGTGTGTTAGTCTGTACAAACCTGTTTTTCTTCCCCTCTGAGAGCCATGAATGTGAAAATGAAGGTGTATGAGAAGATTATGTTTAAAAGAGAGGAAGAGGAGGAAGAGGAGAGGCACAGGGTGAAAAAGGCTTGTAGAGAGTTAGAGCTGAGACATGGGATTTGGGCTTGAAAACTGGTTCAAAATCCCTGAGATTGGGGAGTATCCTGACTATTCATAAGTGGGAGAAATCACAGGCCTCAGGATCCTGGAAGTCTCAAATAAGCCTGTTGGATTTATATTTTAGTTCAAAATCAAAGCCAACTTCATTTCTGTGTCTCCTGTTTTATTTCCTCCTACTGAAGAACTTCCATACAAGGAAGCTCCTGCCTCCCTTGGCCAGCTCTGTATTCCCTCTGTCTGGTGTCTCTGGGGTGCCCACACAAACCAAGCAGGCTTCTTCTGTCCTTTCTTTGTGTGGCTATGTCATTACTGTATGGGTAGTAGTTTAAGAGTCTTTGGACTTACTGTTTCTTCTTTGAGGAAAGGCTCTTCCTTAGATGTCCTCATGGCTCCCTCCCTGTCACAGATTGGGTCCTCCAGGAAGCCCACCCTGAAACAGACATCTGTACACAGGATGTGATGAGGGGTGTTCTTGGGATCAGCCTTGAAAAGAAGGGAAAGGAAGCAAGGAAGGGTCAGCCACAGCTGGCCCTAGGGCTCTGTCAGGTAGGTCCTGTTTGAGCTTTTAAACACCCAGCTTGATCATCATTGGATGTGGGCTACCTGAAGGAAGGCCATGCCCTTGAGAGAGCAGCTCTTTGCAGCTGAGGCAACCCCTGAAAGTTCTGACATTGAAGGCTGTCTGGTGACAACTCTCCAGCAACTGGGGAAGAAAGTGTTTCTTTGGAGGGGAATCTGAGGAGAAGGGAAGGCACATCTCTGCATCTATGAATCCCTCACTTCATGCAGACTCTGCGTAAAGGTTACCACTTCAGAGAGGCCTTTCTGACAACGCTTTATAAAATATCATCCCCATTCCTAGGTTTCAAACAAGATCCCAGTCTTCGTTTCCCCTTACCCTGCTTTATTACCGCTTGACATAGTGTATTTTCATTTAAGTGTATATTTTTTGCATATTCCCCTGACCCACACATACATCACACATGCTAAATATGTTTCATGAGAGCCTGAACTTCAGTACAAATGTATATGTCCGCAGCACCTAGCATATACAACAATTTCTGACAAATGGTAGGTAACCAAGAAATATTTATTGAGTAAGTAAATCAAGTCTGTCTGCCACCTAGATCCCTTCATTTGAGGGAAATACCCACTGAGACAATTAGTAATTCTGTTGCTTAAGGCTGAGATTCTTAGGTACTATCCAAAAAGATTTAATGAGCAGAATAAAACAAGGATCTTAATATCAAATGGTGCTAAGGTTTGACCCACTAAAAATGCCCTCTAATGCTAGAAGAAGGAATACAAGCAAACTTATTCTAATATAGGAGGGACCTGCCTTGAGAGGCCATTAAAAAAAAACTCAATGTACTCATTTGTTAGGGCAGCTACAAAAAAGTACCACAAACTGGTGGCTTAACAACAGAAATTTATTTTCTCACAGTTCTGAAGATTAAACGACAGGGATCGGGGTGTACACAGGATTGCCTCTCTCCTTGGCTTGTAGATGTCTGTCTTCTCCCTGTCTTCACATGGTCTCCTGATATGTCTGTGTCCAATTTCCTCTGCCTATAACACCAGGATATTGGATGAGGGCCCAACTGAATTGCTTCATTTTAAATTAATTGCCCCTTTAAAGACTTTATCTCCAAATATAGTCACATTCTGAGGTACTAGGGGTTAGGGCTTTAACATATGAATTGGGGTGGGGGGACACAGTTAGCCCATAACACACAACCAGAGTTAACACAAAATAGGATTAATAACAAAATAGATGTTAAAATTAATTCATGCACTACAAATCTACTGTAAAATAAATGAGCATCAGCCCACATAGAAAATTCCAGAAGGCTGCCCTGATGTGAAAGCTAGTTGACAGAACATAATAAAGGAACTAGGAAGCCTTACAGGAGTACTTTCAGTCTTTTGGCAGGTGGACAGTCTTAGTCTAGCTTCAAACTGGCACTGAAAATCTTCACTCTGCACCAAAGCACATGTTAAAAGAAGACTTCCTCCCACATCTGCTTTAAAATTACAACTAAACTACAAAACAGCCATCATTCAGAACCTCCTGAAATCTAGCTGAATATAAGTCCTACAAGTAGGGATTTAAAGAAGAAACTACATCAAGACTAGTAGTAGGGGCAGAGACGTGGAAGGGACTGGTCTCACACTCAAGTTATGGATAAAAATTGGGAGGGCTATCTTAGCCCCTATGAAGAATGATGGGTCCCAGCCCCACACCAGGCATCACAACCCAGGGTCCCAGTGCTGGGAAAGAAGTCCCCATAATTTCTGGCTATAAAAACCAGGGGGTGTTATGCCTGAGTCCCAGGAAGTTCATCTTAAAGGGTGCACACAGACTTACTTGCACTCACTCACTCTGAGCTCCAGTGCTGCGATCATGGCTCAAAATGTACCAGGGACATATGAGGCAGAAATGAATTATCTGGCATCAAGACAAGAGCTGGAAGGGCAGCTTTTTCTCAGACAAAAGTTATTTTTGTTTTTGTTTTTGTTTATATTGATTTCAGAGAGAGAAAAGAAGAGGTAAAGAGAGATAGAAACATCAATGATAAAAGAGAATCATTGATCAGCTGCCTCTTGCATGCCCTACACTGGGGATCGAGCCCACAATTCGGGCATGTGTTCTGACCAGGAATAAAACCGTGACTTCCTGGTTCATGGGTTGATGCTCAGCCATTGAGCCACATTGGCTGGGCTCCCAGACAGAAGTTCTGCAGAAGTCATTGCTCCCTTGATGAGCCCTTCCCCCACAAAGTCAGCAGGTATGTGCCCATATCTGAGTTTCCATCAACCTGGCTAACACTGTTCACCCCACCCTGGTGATTCCCTGAGGCCTCACCCCACCCTCCTTTCGGAATCACCCAAGTTGTTTCCAGTAGCTTTTTCATACAAATTGCCTGTCTTGGCTCATGCTTCACTTTCCTAAAATCTCTCAAACAAGCAGCATCTGGCCTCATCATGCCCAGTTGCTCTCTCTAAGTGGCCCCAGGCCCAGTACTAGCAGCAACAGGCCTTGATATGCACCTTGGCCTCTCCTGGGCCACCTCCAAGCCCAGCATAAGTAGAAAGCATCTTTAAGAAGAAGGAGGGGAAAAAAATCATCAAAAATATGAACAATAAAGTGGCAATAAATACATATCTATCAATAAATAAATCTTTTAAAAATACACAAAATAAACAAAGAATCAGAACAGAAACAGATTAATAGATACAGAGAACATTGTGATGATTGCCAGATGGAGGGGATGTTGGGGGAATGGGTGCACAAGGTGAAAGGATTAAGAAGTACAAATTGGTTGTTACAGAATAGTCATGGGGATGGAAAGCGCAGCATAGGGAATATAGTCAGTAATACTCTAATAACTATGTATGCTGTCAGATGGGTATGAGAGTTATCAGGATGACCACTTAGTAAGTTATATAACATCTAATCACTGGGGTGTACACCTGAAACTAATAAAATATTGTATTGCCTTGACCGGTTTGGCTCAGTGGATAGAGCGTCGGCCTGTGCACTGAGGGGTCCCGGGTTCGATTCCGGTCAAGGGCATGTACCTTGGTTGCGGGCATATCCCCAGTAGGAGATGTGCAGGAGGCAGCTGATTGATGTTTCTCTCTCATTGATGTTTCTAACTCTCTATCCCTCTCCCTTCCTCTCTGTAAAAAATCAATAAAATATATTTTGAAAAAAGTAAAAATAAAATAAAATATTGTATGTTAACTATAATTTTAAAATAAAAACTAATTTAATTTTTTTAAAAAGATTTACTGTCCAAGACGTTATACTGAAGAATGACTTGGCCCCAGGGTGGATAACTTCTGAGCCAGTTACATCAGTAACACCTGCTATTATTGTTGGGAGGGAAATAGTGAGGCCTTTACAAAGGAACCCCTGAAGTGGCTTCAGTATTTTGGAATTGAATTAGGGGTGAAGTGCTGAGTCAGTATAACACAATGTGGACACTTTTCTCCTCCCTACCTGCCGCACCAATCAAACCTTCAGAGATTGAAGGAAATTGTGGATGTTACCCCACTTTTTCTTTTTACTTAAAAGGACACTATTATGTCTTCTAAGATCTTGTTTCTTAAAGTGTGACCTTTTCCAGCAAGAGAGAATCACCTGGGGTCTTATTAGAAGACAGCTTGGCTCTCCAGAGCCATTCAATGTGATTCCCTGGGGATGGGATCCAGTAATCTGTTTTTGTACCAAACTCTCCAGGTGATTCATATGTGCAGTAAAACATCAGGAGCATTGTTTTTACTTGATCAGAATTTCATATCCAAAATATTTACTTTGGGGGATAGATTTTTTAAATACTCTTTAAGGTAGAGGGAAGAGAAATATTAGTTTTGTTTCAAACATAGTGTATAGGGTATAAATGTCATGATGCATAACCAAATGTTATTATGAATACTCTTACTAAAGTCTATCACATGACTAGGGGCTCTACTATAAAGTAAAAAGCATAGGGAAGAGTGGGAGTTGCCCCAGCTGGTTTGGCTCAGTGACTAGAGCATCAGCCTGTGGGCTGAAGGGTCCCGGGTTCAATTACGGTCAAGAGCACATGTCGGGATTTCGGGCTTGATCCCCAGTAGGGGGCGAGAATGATGAGAGAGAATCAATGATTCTCTCTCATCAGTGATGTTTCTATCTCTCTCTCTCCCTCTCCCTCTCCCTCTCTGAAATCAATAAAAATATATTTAAAAAAAAAAAAAAAGAGGTGAAGGACCTACCTGTCAAGCAGCCAAGCAGATCCTGAACAGCAGCCACCATTGCAGCTGCTAGGTCAGTATGCCAAACTTCCATAGATGCAGCCAGTACAAGACAATTAGCCCAAATGGATTTGAACTGTTTATTACACTTGGCACTAAAAACAGCATGAGCTCCGTGTTCGCAGTGGTTCCTCTTGCCCCTCAAGTCCCATGGCAGCAATGCAAAAGTAGGCCCAGGTAGGCACTGCATGCCCTGTGTCACATCAGGGAACCTCCAGTTTAGGAAAACACCAAGCTATTTAAAGGGAGCTACTAGAAACCTGTTCATCCACCCCTACAGAGAGCGACATTATCTTTATATCCTGATCAGAAAACAAATCTGCCTTCTGACTCAGAGGGAGATGCTATCTTTATTACCCTGGACTACCTCCAAGACAGGAGGAAAACTACCTTTCTTATCGTGGAGAATAAGCAAATTTGCTCTCTGCCTGGAGCAGCTTTACAAATATCTTTAAACAAAGCTACCCATGCTCTTTGCTCGGGAGGCCTCCAGAAATGTGAGATTCATCACTCAACACTCCTTTTTTATATGTCTTCCTTCCATGACTCACAGGGTAGCCTGGGTGTTAGGAGAACTCAAGCCTGTCTTCTTTCCTGCACTTCAGAGGGTAAATCTTCCTATTTAATACTTTGTATCATCAAGAACTCAGGCTTCAGACTTTTTAAATGGAGTATCCTATAGCCCAGGCAGAATCTTACCTGGAGCCTTATCATATAAAACGGATCAAAGCAAACCTACTCCCTCAAAGGAATGAAGTGATGCCCGCTTCTCTGCACTTCCTTGAGTTAGATTTTGGTCCATGTTGGCCTCTGAACATCCTCAAAACCTCCTACTCCTCAAAACACAGTTGAAAGCCACCACTATACTGAAGAGTGATGTTTTGTAATTACTAGCACTCCTCAGCAGGTTGGTAGGTTGTCAGACAATGAGAAAAAGGTTGCATAGGTTTGAATAAATAAAACACAGTTTTTCCTGGCATCAGCGCAGACAGGAGAAAGCTGTTCTCATTAGTCACTAAGTCATGGAGGCAAGTAGTTTGGTTTCTGTTAACAGAAAATATATCCTCTTTAAGGGCAGCCTTAAAGAGTAATATTCATTTCTGTACTCATTTACTTATTTATTCACTCATTTATTTTACTCAGCAAGAATATTGATATTGATAACCCACTAAATATATATTGTTAGTATGTAAAAGTGATTAAGACATGATCCCAATCAAAGAAGGGATAAATAAAAGCAAGTATTATATAAGTAACAATTATATAATTTTTATAATTATGTCCATGTGCCTTAAGAGGGTATGATGTGTTTTTATGACGTTTCTGCTGCTTGACTTTGAATACCTGAGACAGTCACCTAGAGCGTGTGCAGCAGTCCTCTGTGATGAAGAAGACAGAAAGGCTAGAGGGACACTTTTGTTTTTTAATCTACTACTGGCTTTGAAGGCATTGACTCATAAACTCTGAATACTCATAATCTTTCAATTTTCTGATTAGCTAACCAAACTGTGAATGGAGACACCTTTTCCATATTAAAAACATCCAACTGCTTTTCTAACAGGATAAACTCATAGTCACAAATAACCTAAGCAGAGAATAGCTTTTCTCAGGGAAGGGTCTAGAAGCTTGATACGGATAATGCACACCTTTTATCAAAAATGACGATCATATCACCAAGTGTTCTAGATACACTATATCATTTAGTTGAATTCTCATAGCTACTTTATGAGTAAAGGGCTATCCTACTTTTGCAAGTGAGAAAAGGGTGGGTCAGGGCTGTTAGGTAATTTCCCAGTTGCTGCCAGAACTAGGAGGCAGAATCCGGGCCTGTCCTCCCCATTCCCAGGCTCCTCAGAGCCCTGTTCCTTGCTTGATGAGCAGACAGCCCTGCCAGCACCTCTTTACCCAGCTATCTTTTTAGCTTTTACTATCAAGGGAAACTCATCTCCTTTCGTCTTCTCTGACCAGTAAGTTCGCTACCTCTTTCTTTTCTAAATAACGTCTAGAGAAATAGGAGAATATATGTGACTTGGAGTATGAATTCCTCTCTTCATGATTCAAAAAGACTTCTGCAATAAAGAAAGGAAATAAATTGGCAGAAAAAATTCGCACGAAAAGCATTAAATCTTAACAAATTTTGAACAGATGAAATAATTTTTATCTTTATGTTGATGACACAAACGTTTATTGAAGATGAATTTTCTCTTTCAATTTTGAACTTAAACAAGATAGGAAATAAATGTAGCAGATACCAGAATGGGTACAATCATATATTTTTTTACTAAGAATCATTAAAATAGTGTTGATATAGTACTAAACAAAAATGCACACCTTTGGATCATTTTTAAAATATAACATATTCAGGAATAAAGGATTATAAAAATCAATTCATAGAATAGTTTAACTAACCTAAATTAATATTCTTGCTCCACAAAATTAATTTTGCATGTAATACATTCAATAATTACATTCTGCTAAAAATATAAAAGCATTATTTGCCATATTTATATAATTGATGGTTCTGCTATGAGTATGTCTAAGTTGCCAAGAATAAGATTTCTTCTTATTCAAAAACTAATTAAATCTATATTTTACTTTTAAAATATAAAAATAATCAAGGAAATGCCATCAGGCCTACACTCCCTTTTGTTGTTAGACTGGCCACGGGGTGTTACTTCAGTGAAAAACCATGAAATGACACGTTAGTCTATTGAATGTACTTGTTTACACAGGAAAAAAAACATATTCCAGCCCACACGCAGAAGGTTCGATCAAAAGTAAAATACTCGGTTTGAAGTCTTTGCACAGTTGCCGACTTCACTGATTCACCGGTGCCTGAAGAGCATATGCCTCTGTGTTGCTTCCAGGGAGATAACAATCATACCTCCTTCCCGTCTGTTGTCACTGGTACTCATGTGGATTGGCACCAGCAGAAAAGCTCAGAAGGAGGGGCAGTTCCAGAATAAGAATGTGTGGCACCCACCTCCAAAAGTGAATGGATCAAGTCAACCTTATGATTTCCAGTCAAGCAAAAGACACAGGGAAAGAAAACCCTTCCTTCCCGTCACTGAGCCTGACTTCTAACCACACCCCAACCAGAGTTCTTTGTCACCTGACGGAGGGGACCTCCCTCTTCTCTGACATTAACAGACTGAAGGAGTGCCCCTCGCTGGAAGCTGGAAGTTCACCAAGACCCCAGCCGTCCTAGATCCATTTCAGGACTGGCACTAGGAAGTCAGCCCTCCAGTTCTGGCAATTCTTACCTCAGCTGGGAGACACTAGGAATTTTCTTCAAAAACACCAAAGCTGAATTCTAAAAGAGGTCCAAAGGGGCTCTGTAAACTCCTTCAGAACTCTCACAAACCCTCGAGGACTGTTTCCTCTTTTTCAAACAAATCTTAACTATTGTCACTAAAGCTGAATGGACAGAAGGCAGAGGAGTTAATGCGTCTTTTAATCTATCATAAATAATCAAAACTTCCTGGGCATGTTTTCTTAATGGCAATCAATGTATTCCTGATAAATTGCCTATAAGTGGAATCTCTGCATGTATCATGTGCCAGTATGGACCCCCAGTATAGATTTATATATATTTTATTGCCATTCTATTTCAACTCCAAGTTAGTGTCCAATGATTTAGCATCATTGTCACTGCTTTTTCCTCCTTATTTCACACCTTCTCTCCCCTATCCAAGCATGTTCAAACTTCCTCAAATACTTTTTAGTAAAGGTGGGAGTGAGAATAACTTCCCTAAAGCAGGACACGCCTATCTCTACGTTGAGTATAAAGGCTAACAAGTTCAAAGTAATCTCAGTAAATGCATTGCCAGCCAGCCCCGCCCTCCAAGCAGCTGTTATACGAGCTTATGCTACATTTAATTTATTAACCTGGGACAAGCTAATTGCATAGTTTCCACAAAATAGAACATGTTGTTCATAGCAACTACATGCTAATTCCTTTGAAAAAAACTCACTAATTATACAGTGACTTTGCATCTCCCAGCAATTGTATGATTAACTGGTGTTACATGTTCAAAGCTCTGAGTGAGCTCAGCATCAAGGCAGACAGAGTTCTCTGGCGGGGTTCATGCACAAAAGGACCTTTTACTATCCTACCTCTGTTCTCCTAGACTTTGCTTCTTTACTAAGGCAAGTGGGTTTGCACACGGCCCCACTGAGCTAGGAGGGGTTGCCTTGACATTTAAGCAACCGCATAGAGGCAGCAAACCTTTCCCAGGCACAGAACAGCGTGTACTCACAGAAGACAATATCAATGGTTGCCCAGTAAATCTACATCTATAAAAAGTTCAGCAAACACACAGGTGTAATGGCTTGAGTTTTATATCTAAATACAACTACAAAATCGCACTTCAGGCTGAGTACTTCTGAGAAATGATTGCAGTTTTTAAAGGTGTTTGAAAGTACATGGCCTTCAGGATTCTTTTAGCTCCTAAAGCTAAGAAAGAAATGTCATTTTTGCCTGAAGTGCTGATTTGGCTTTGAACATCACATATTCTGAATATTCCGTTTCAGGTTAATGTTTATACAAGTGAACACCCTTGGTGCTTTTAATTGACATTTCTCTAATGTCTTATGGTTTCCTCTTTCCTCTCCCCAAATCCCTCATTCAGCACTTCTAGGTCTGATCAGAAAATGGGCATATTTTGTCATCACATTATTTTTCTCTGCATATCTGCTTTGGTTAGTTGCTTCAACAGAAATGATTCTCGGGAGAATGAGCTCACAAAGACTCCCTGTGGGCTTAAAATAAAAAGTGTTTTCCTTATAAAATTAAAGGGAAGTAAAGAAAAGGCAAAAGTGAATAAAGCAATGATTTTGCAGAGCATAGATTTCTTAGCCAAGTTTTATAACGTGCAATCAGCAGTCTGAGTCAGACTACAAAACCCTTTTCTTCTTCCCCACTCTTCAGGTTGGATGGGGAAAATGTTCCTTCTATTTCAACCCTGGTAGTTTGGGGTTGGCACCTCTCTAGGACTCTCCAGGTTTTCAGTCTGATAACTTGATTTCTGCTATTTAATCCAGGTGTGGAAATGTTCAGGCCATCCCTGTGATACTGAGTCATTGTGTACATTGGATTTCTGGTCTCCCTGGAGGATGGTAACTCCAGCCTGGAGGGGGAGACTCCCCGCTTGACCTTGCCTGTACAAGGACATGGGTCCCCAGCTATCTCTTCCTGCTCTCCGTTTCTGGCAAAGTCGTGGGCCTGCTGGCCTGACATGCCTAAGCCCCATGAATGATCGCCCTTTCTGACTTGGGTATCTTTGATGATTCATTTTCAAGTGGCCCCTGGGGAATGATTTCTGACATTCTATAAACTATGACTTTATAAAAGCAAAATTGCTTTTCAGAGGCAGATTTAATTTTCAACAAAGGAAAAGGTGAGTCATTGGATCTTCGCCTCCCTCGGAGCAGGAAGAGAAGGAATCATCTCTATGGTTCCTTGGATCCTTTTATT